GTGGTGGCTGTGTTGTTGCGTCGGTGGCGATTCTCGCCGACGTGGGGCATTGTGGTGTTCTTCTTTTCTCTTTATTGGGACAAGTGATTCTTTCCCAAGGTGGTTTAGCGTTAAGAAGGAGAGCATGCGATCGTAAATTGTGTTTTGTGAATGTTTTGTTGTACATTTGGGAAGTTGTTAGCAGGCGCAATGTTGACTTTGGTCATAACTATCATATAGTGGGGCAGTGGCTTTCACCATGCCTCATGAACCAACATGTTCCTTTTCCCATTTAAGTTTCGGATGTTTTTTTTGCATTGAACATTAGGTGTTCTGTATAGCATAGTTTCAATCTCCAAAAACTACATTCTATAACCCATGTGACTTATTTTGTTGCAGCTTCTGCTGCCTCTATCCAATTGCAGAGAACAATGAATGCATGTGTTATCTAACCTTCAAGTTATCCATATTGGAGAGTTATGCTAATGTCCAAATTTTGTGGTAATGGCCAGTTAATGGAAATTGGGATGGCGACGTCGGGGTTGACTTGGTTGATGTTGTTATAGTTGTATGTACTGGTGATTCCAACTACCTGCTTTGCGGTACTCCCTCCGTCCATATATATTGGGCCTAATACAGTTTTCGAGGTTGCGTTTGACCATTGACAAGATTGACGATGCATGAGATGTACAATATAAAAATTGTATCATTAGAAATTTCTTCCACATACAAATCTAATGGTATGCTTTGTGTAACACGCACTAGATGTTGGAGGTGTGTCTATTTTGACTCTAAAAGCACTTGATCGGTTAGTCTCTGTTCAGCGAGATTGACAAACAACTCGGCCGCAAGGGATAGGGCTCTCGTACCCAGCCGCCACTAGGGTTTCTTCTGCCTCCCGCCGCTGTCGGCGCTGGTCCACCTTGTCTCCCGTGGCCTTAAGGCCATGGAGTCTTGGGGGATTCTGGATCTTGCCGGCGGGAGGGCTTCATTTTGGGATCCTTTTCTGAGTTTTCTTAGCGTTTGTGCCCTGCTCGGAGATACGAGGTGGCGGCGGCTCTCTGAAGATGGAATAAGGTTCTCCTTGCAGCCCCCGTCTCGGTGATGCTTCTAGCGTCATCGGAGGGCGTGTGGAGATTTGTCTCCAGTGGATCTTGCGGGATTCGATCGGCGTTTGTCTTCGATGGATCCGGTCTTTGTTCTTGTGTGTTCGTGTGTTTATAGGTTGGATTTTTTATTTAAGCTTCTCTTTAACTACGTCGGTTTCTATTTTGGTTCGCTGGTCCTATAGGGCCTTAGCACGATGACTTGTTAACTGTCTACTACAACAAGTTTTGGCCGACTCTAGTGAGGGAGGGGCGATGACGGCGGCACGCCTTCGGCCTGTTTCAGTGCTTGTAGTCGTCGCTAGGTGGTCTACGGATCTGGATGTGACTTTTCTTATTTATGGTACTCATTGTACTACAATGATTGAGGATGAATAGATTGGAAGTTTTCCCGTAAAAAAGAGAGATGAAATAGCTTTCCCGAAAGAAAAAAAAACAGATGACATAGCTTGCAACATATTTTTTTAAACAATGCTTGCAACTGATAAAAGTATATGGGAAATCAAGATAATATTTTCCTCCAATTTACCAATAATTGTGAAGCAAAATAGCAACATCCAAATCCTTTGTGAAGGCTAGTCAACCGGAAAGGATAAGTGAACTCAATCGGAGTTATATGATTTTAACTTTCCATTTTGGCTTGAGGTATATGGTTTTTTATATTTCCATACAACCCGCATACAACTGAATTTTAGACGCACTTCTTATGCGGTACCAACATGGAGTCCACCGGTGCTACATTTTGTACTTCATAATATGTTTTATCAAGATATTTTATTCATTTTTGTTCAGGCTACTTCGTTAACTATTGTTAAAGCTTTGTTCTAAATGTAGTTTTGACAGCAACCTATAGGAACCATATGATCAATCCATTAGCAAAGATTGTAAAAAAATCATGCTCCATATCTGTTAATAATTTATCATTTCAGTAGTGTGACTCGCATTGATAAGCAATAGTACTGAAGTGTGCGTTCTTTCTCACTCTCAATCTGTCTTTGTCTTTATGTTGAATATCATAGTTAATTTCCAATTTACGATGTCAGGAAGACAAACCCAGAGTAGATCTCACTAAACTAGGAGAAACCTTAGAAATTATGGTCCTCAATGAAAACTTTTATGCACGAGAAGAATTTGTAACGGGATAACACCAAACTGGTTGTGTAAAGAGTAAAGACACCAAAGACAAGGAAGTTATTCTTACGGTAAAAATAACTTGTAGCACCTCAACTGAAACGAAACCACATACCGGCATCGCTTCCCAGGAACATCACCAGTGTCGGTCACTCCACCACTCATTGATAGATCTTGTTAACCACTATCGAAGCATTCTTCCAAGAAGAGATAGGCAATCATCAACAAGAGGACTATGCATGGTTCAGAAGGCCATAGGTCCATGATTTATGGCCATGCATTATCCATGGGGCCTGTCGGGCCTTTTGCCCAGTTGGGCTAGTGGCTTGCTGGGCCGGAGCCCAATGGGGGGGGGGGCTTTTCTTGTTTTTCTTTTCTTTTGATTTTGTTTAGTCTGTTTCCGTTTATTTATTTTCTTTTCTGTTTTACTTCAATTAAAAATATTTAGGCCTTTTCTAAAAATGAGTTTTCTCCACAATAATTACCAGTGTAATATTTGGCACCCACCGAACATTTTTGTTTCAATGTTTGAAAACATTTGTTGTTTGTGATATTTTGAATTGATTTTTGAATCGGTTTTCAACTATCGAAAGATTAGCATCGTTAACGAAGGTGATGTGGCATGATTAGCAGAGTTTCACTGTAGCTTAATTATCCGGGCATTACACTAGATGTCTCACAAAAACTACGAAGAGGACTTGCCCCTGCCAGGAAAAAAGCCCTAACCTAAACTACTAGCCGGAGCCGAGGCACCAGGATCCCCCCCCACCTCCAACGCACCCTAAGAGGCGAACAGAGGGGAGGTGGATCCACGGGCTCACCTGGGAATTTTGGAGGGGATGAGTGCCCTAGCCCCCGGAAAGGGAAATAGAAACCCTGATCGGGATGTTTCTAGTTCTCGTAAAGTTGCCTTGTTTGAAAACATATTTCAAAGGCTCCGTGCTATGTTGAAATTTTTACTTCATAGGAATGTGTTGATGCATATTTTCTTCCATGATGGTTGCGTTAGTTAATGTGTTAATGATGTTAAAGGTCTGGTTGCACCAAATTATCAATGAAGAATCTATAAAACTGTGTTGTCAAGGAACACCCAACATAGCGTAGACAGTGACTACGGATGCTCCTTCGAGTGTGATAAATCATCATGACACAACCGATGACGAAAGTAGCGTAGGCCTCCAATAGTCTCAGTTCAGCTATCACAAAAATCCGGCCTTCCATTTCCATATATATCAGGCCCATGTTCCATGTCTAGCCAATCAGCCAGGGTATATAATTTCAGCGAAATTTCAAAACTTCCGACGGGCAGTCAAATATTTGTAACCACAATTTTATAGGATGAAATCCAAAATTCTCCTTTTTGTGATGTCGGAATTTTACATGTTACTGAAAAATTGTTTGATTTTCCCCTGGTGCCTTTATATCCATTCCTACATTAGATATCCTGGACTCAAAGCAGCTAACACTCTCCTAATTAAAGTATAATTGTAACCACATATGTATACATTCCAATAATGAAATGCTAAACTAATCTAAAATCACCCCCGCAAAAAAAGAGAGCCTAAACTCAAATCATGTTCGCTACTCGAATGTTTTGTTGACAATAAAAAAACTACGCTCTAAATCGAAAGAAATAATGTAATAGTTAACAATATTGAGAAAATCGTTAACTAGTAGCTGCTTAGTTGGCTGGCGAGTAGAAGATTAATACGCTGATCGGCAAGGTAATCAACCAATTAATCGTTCAATTTATCAGTTTGTCGGCTATTTAGTGACCCTATGAATATAGATTAATCGGCAAGTTAACTAGTTAATCGGGAAAATTCTTGAACATGGATAGTTAATTAAGCCTGCCTTAGGTGAGTATGTTCTTTGTTTTTTAGATAAAAATCATGCGCACGATTTTATAGATAAAATCATCAAGCACTGATAAAGATTCACACAAACCCACACTAACAGCCAAACATGCTAAGTTCAGAAACCCAGTTAAGGACTGTCACCGCGGCAACAACACAAACAAGTGACACGCACGACCCCAACCATACGCACTACTCCTAGGCCGACTGAGCTTGATCCCCATGCGAGATAGAATTCGCCGTAGTCCACACACTCACACCGCACACGTAGTAAGTTCTTTGTCGTGGAATCAGTCCATCCAATTTAAGTCAGATTTGTCATGGGTGGGCGCATGTTTGTCTGAATTTATTTGACACTTTGATAATGCGTACGAAACGTAGGAATCGACCAGTGTCAGTCCACGTACATGACTGCCAAGTGGTCCGCCCATCCACGGCAGCCTGGAGCCGTGGAGAGCCCACGGCGGCGACCGGCCAGCCCCACACGTCACGACCTGGCGTCCATCCACGGCGGCGACCAACCAGCCCCACACCACACGTCACGGCCTGGCTGCGGATGAGGCGAACACCAACCACCCGCAAAGATCGGGCGCCGACGAGCACGGCAGCGGCAACCAACCCCCGAAGCTGAGGCCCCGCGCGCCGCCGCCGCAACAGAAAAACAGAGGAGAGCGAGACACGGCCGCGCAACGGCAACAGGGGAGGAGAACAGATCCCGCGCCCTGCATTTGCCCTGCTATCTTCCTCCACCGGTGAGATGGTCGGAGGGATGAAACCGACGCGACAAGCCGGCCGGCGGTCGTCATGGCGGCGGCGGTGCTATGAGCAATGAGCACGACACGGCCTGGATTTCTTTGCAAGAAGACGCATCTCCGATCGCGTGCCGCGGTGGTTGGCTTCTCGAATCCTTCTTGTGTACGTAGCCGTCATGTCGTCCAACTCCTCCTCGGCCGCCCCACCGCCGCCCTCCAAGAGCAGCCCTCCTCCATCGGCAGCCCCGCCGCCGTCACCGTCCATCTCCAATTCGTCCTCGCCAGCGCCGTCCAGCTCCAACGACCCCTCGCCTCCGCCTGCGCCGCCCAAGTCCAATGGCGCCCCGGCGTCGCCAGCAAGGGTTCCGTCTCCACCAGCCCAATCATTCAGAGGCTCCGGTGACTCGAGCAGGTCGTCACAGACTTCTGCGCACCATGTCAGCCCCAACACCACGGCCGAGATCATTTTCGCCGCCGCCGGGGCGGCGATGCTCCTCGCGCTCCTCATCGCGGCCTGCGTCTGCTGCTCGAGGAGGACGGCGCCGAGGCGGAGGCGGAAGCCTCACAATCCCATGCATTTCTACGCCGATACCTCCGGCAACAAAGGTAAAACGCAATGCTCACAAAGTTGCCATCGATCGCCATTGCATGCTCGTGGTGCTGTTCCTCTTGCTCTTGATTTGCATACGTGTTGTTAACCACAGCCGGCAGCACGTACTACACCGGCGGGCCGCAGCCGCAGTGCCAGAGCGGCATCGGCGCGGGGCCGTCGACGAGCACGTCCCGCCCACCCGGGGCAGCCTGGCCGTTGCCGCCCGGCATGAACTCGGGCGTCTACTCCAGCCCGCGCGACCAGCCGACGTCACCGCCCGCACCGCAGGAGACGCTGGGGCTCGGCAGGGGCACGTTCACCTACGAGGAGCTCGCGGCGGCGACGGGCGGCTTCTCGCAGTCGAACCTGCTCGGGCAGGGCGGGTTCGGGTACGTGCACAAGGGGGTGCTCCCCAGCGGCAGGGCGGTGGCCGTGAAGCAGCTCAAGTCCGGGAGCGGGCAGGGGGAGCGCGAGTTCCAGGCCGAGGTGGACATCATCGGCCGGGTGCACCACCGCCACCTCGTGTCCCTCGTCGGCCACTGCATCGCCGGCGCCAGCCGCATGCTCGTCTACGAGTTCGTCCCCAACAAGACGCTCGAGTTCCACCTCCATGGTCAGTTTCTCTGCCTCCGTCGCCGTGCACAACTTCCAGGAGTTAGCTGACACAGACTGATGGTTTCAGGGGAAGGGTTGCCGCCGATGGCATGGCCGACGAGGCTGCGCATCGCGCTCGGGGCGGCGAAGGGGCTCGCCTACCTGCACGAAGACTGTGAGCATATCCCTAACTTGTCTCCACATCTCCATTGTTGCCTTGCCGGAATCACATTTGTCATGCTCGTGTGCCGACAATGAAGGCCATCCACGGATCATCCACCGCGACATCAAGTCGGCCAACATCCTCCTGGACAACAACTTCGAGGCCATGGTGGCGGACTTCGGGCTGGCCAAGCTGACGTACGACGGCATCACGCACGTCTCGACGCGGGTCATGGGGACGTTCGGGTACCTGGCGCCGGAGTACGCGTCGAGCGGGAAGCTGACGGAGAAGTCGGACGTCTACTCCTACGGCGTGATGCTGGTCGAGCTCATCACGGGGCGGCGGCCCATCGACGCCACCGCGCACTTGGTCCTGGAGGACGGCCTGGTCGAATGGGCGAGGCCGGCCCTGTCGCGCGCGCTCGCCGACGGCGACTACGACGCCGTCGCCGACCCGAGGCTGCAGGGCAGCTACGAGCCGGTGGAGATGGCGCGCGTGGTGGCCAGCGCCGCCGCCTGCGTCCGGCACTCGGCCAAGAAGCGCCCGAAGATGAGCCAGGTGCCGATGCCATAGCACTCGCCGGCGCCGCACCGCACACTTGACACGCACTTTGTCTCCCATGGATTTTCATGGCGTGTGGCAATGGTGACATTTTGTTTTACCTCGGGTGCAGATCGTGAGGGCGCTGGAGGGCGACATGTCGCTGGAGGACCTGAACGACGGGGTGCGGCCGGGGCAGAGCAGGCTGTTCGGGGAGGGGGCGGGGTCGTGCAGTTCCGACATGAACCGGACCAAAGTGGTGGTCGTGGCGAGCCCCGAGTACAGCGGCAGGTTCGGACGGCCCTCGCCGGTCAGCAGCGACAGGCCAATCTCCGACGAGATGAGTCCGGCGGAGAGACAGCAGCCGCACCTCTGACCGATTCTGTGGTTTTCTCCTTGCCGTACGTCTGGGTAGTTTGTTCATGTGCTATTTCTAACATTTCGTGTTACCGATTAGTGTTGGTGTGGAGAACCATACATGTCATGTTTGGACATAGAAAGAGCCATTGAAAAGGTTTCTTTCTTCTGTAGACAACAGCAATGCATTTATATAAAAACAATAATGTACGTACTCAACTAAACTGAAAAATATTGTGTTGCTCTTGACACGAGAGGTAAGCTATCTCATAGAGCATCACAATATCCTACCCCAACCAAATAATCGCCATTATTCTCAACTGACGATATCTGAGGATATAACTCAACTTCGCTTTTTAGAATTTATTTCTTATTTCTTCGACAAAATATATTGAACAGTCCCTGCTACATAGGCGTTCCATGTGAGTGTACAACTACAATTTGAGTCATATCCATTAGGATTACTTTCCTGGGTGCATGTGTTAGTTCTCATTGTGTTTTTTAGGTTAGTTCTTATTGTTATAGTGATGTTCACCATGATACAAAGGTCTAGTTACACCATTTTTAGCAAAGAAAATCTGCAAACCAACATTTGAACTAAAATAAAGTATGGATCTCAACTCTAAGTATTGTGCAACATGCTGAAATTTATAACAGTTGATCTAACTTGACATATATCAAACACACGGTTCACAACGAATACGTCAATGCATAATACAATCACAATTTGCATAGATTTGAATCTCACTTTCTTAATAAAACATTAACGAACCAACATTACATAGCCATTCTGTAAAATAGGCACCAGAAGGAATAGGATCTGAAAAAATATATTCTTCACAAGCATTTTCACGTTTACCTTATGTATACACATGGGGCGCAACAAGACATACATATCAAATCCACTAGTAACAAATGGTCCACTCTTTTATAACAATGGTATGCTTTTAATAGTAGCTCGTATCACCAAGCTACATCATCAGTCATGAAAGAACACATTTTTGCCATCTAATGCGCCGAAATAACCTTAGGCCATCAAACTTAATCAAAAGATACAAGCTATCTCACAAACTAATCAACACATATGGGAAAGAAAACTTCAAATCAAGGTAAACACAAGGATCACATAAGTGAAAATCCCTTTCAAAAAGAAAGAATCACAAGCCTTGCGAGGCAATCTTCGACCATATAGATAAACAAATGCAAAGGGTGGGACTCAATCGCCATGCGGCAAATTTTAGCATGCTCCCTCTTACCTCCCCTTTTCACATGAGAGGTAAGAGTACACGATAGATCTGAGCCATTGATTAATTAAGTAGTGGTCTGATTAACTTTTATCTTCGTACTCCCACTAGGCATGTTGAAGCCTTGTTCCCAGTGCCTCCCATTGCCACACATTCTACTAATTTGGGAAAAGCCACTTGGCCAACTAAGTTGACATCCTGATTGTCTCAAAACCCACTTGTACATTGTTGAAGGATGATTCATATGGCATTGGTAATATAAAGACTCGACGGAGCAGGTCATTCCTTGATTTAATTCTAGTTGCATGTACCTATTGTTGTTGTGCATTGATGCATATAAAGAAGGAAAATATCATGTTGGTAGACTCATAAATTTTAATGGTTATGTCGCCTACAATGGTTAGTTGATTATTTCATGATATTTAATGATAAAGCTCGCAACTTTGCTTTTTAGAGTTCATACATCCAAAATATTAAACCATTTGCATGTAATGGTAACTATAGTAGAAGCGGTTGCCTCAAGTCCTCCTTAGCATGCCTTGTTCAAAGTATGCACCAATGTTCCTTTGCTACACTGGAATTCCATGTGAGTGTCATATCCATGTAGGTTTGCTTTCCTTGGTGCATGTGTTAGTTGTTGTTGTTCTCGTGGTGCTCGCCATGATATGAAGGTCTAGTTACACCGCTTTACCAATAAAAATATGCAAACCAACATTTGAACTAAACTCAAATATGAATCTCAACTATAAAAATTGTGCAACATGGTGAAATTTGTAACAGTTGACATAACATGACATATATCAACACATGGTTTACAACGGAATACGTCAATGCATGATGTGGTCACAAATTTCATAGACTTGAATCCCACTTTATTAATAAAAGATTAACCAATCAAAACTACAGAGCCACTATCTAAAAGAGGCACCAGAAGGAATAACATTTGAAAAATAATTCTTCACAAGCATTTTCACATTCACCTTGTGTATACACATGGGGTGCAACAAGACATACACATTAATTCCACAAGTAACAAGGTGTCCAATCGTTCATAACAATAATATACTTTCAATAGTAGCTCATTTTTTGGATGTGGCTAAACTGCACTCGGGTTCACATGAGCCCTACGATGAGTAGTAAAATCATGAAAAATAGAAAACACCTCTTAATTTGGTTTCTAATTAGAGGTGTGCATACAATTTACTACTAAGAGGGAGTGGTGTTGCATCATATCAACTGTTGATTTGCCGAGTATTTTAAATTCTGAATGATTTTTCTTTCCTTCAACGTAAATTGTTAAGTATCATTCTCCAAGATTCAATCCTCTTATCGCATACAATGTTGCTCCCTATTCCTACCCTGAAGCAATGTTCCACGCGATCTTCTGTCATGCCCTCATGTCAGATGGCATACTTGGCAGACTGCTACACTAGCCCGCCATCACCCTCCAGCTGTGTTGTTTTTCCCTAATTGATCATTCTTTAGTGGTTTCACAACTAGAACCATAGTAAAATTATTAACTAGAATACTGCTCGAAAGGACCATAAATCCCTACAGAAATAACCACCATTGTGAAATCCAGCCTATCTTATAGAATTGATGCCATGGAGCTTATTTCTTCTCACACTGGTAGAAAAGGGCAATAAAAGTGACCTCCACAATTTAATCACTCATGATGAAGAAGTCCCCCCTTTGGTCCTAAGTGAAATCCTTACACATTCTAGAAGCTTTGGACTCTTTCATATTCAGTAGCCGTAAGATTCCTCTTAAGGAAACCAGGGGTGGAGAGCTCTAGGGAATTGTAGGCATGGACCCTTATTATCGCATGGGTATGAGTCAACCTAGCCTGAAATGCCTAAGTGCGGAATGGGAATGCCCGAAAATCTCTTCTGCTTGATAGTTTTGTAATAAAGATATAGAATTTTGTACCTCTGTCCCATATTAACAGTCGCTCAGATGGTTGTATCTAGCAGTAAGATACGTCGAAATACATCAAAGTATTTGTATAACATGATATCACAAGCGAGTGTAAGAAAGTGATGCATCTGTTGCATCGGCCACTTTAGCTTGGCAAGTGGCGAGGCACGCCATTGCCTCTCTTTATTGTAGTTTAGCTATCCAACAATATCCACAGCCACATGTCTTACCTCATCCTCTTCCTCTCTACAGGATTAGAGATCGCCACAACCCCCTCCCTCTATGGGCATGGTGCACTCCTGTCCGCCACACCTACTCTCAATCGACCTTCGGGCATCCCTCACCACCAGTCCTCGCAGGGCCCCATATTCGTTTCTGGCAATGCAGGGGAAAGGGAAGGAGAGGACAAGCAAACGCGGCTCCTACAACGCGGCTGCTCACGAGGATCGGCCCCTCGGACTCAGCCAGAGCCCTCCTCGCGCTTCATCGGGGCGCGACGATGGGATGACCCGCCACCGTCCTCGAAGCGAGCCCGACAGCATGGCGGCTGGTCGTAGCCGCCGCTACTGGAGCTTTCGTCGGAGGAGGAGCTGCCGTAGTTGGGCGAACCGCGGCCTCCGCCGAGGGCAAGGCCACCCTCGTGCTCGTCACGGCCATCGCCAAGGCCAAGCACCTCGCCACCATCGTCGTCGTCTTTAGGGCAGCATCCGGCGCGGGGACCGTCTTCCCCGAACACCCTCACGAAGAGGCTCGCTGCGCCGTCGTACTTGAAGTGGAGCGTGCCCCGCCTGCCCAGGCCGTGCACACGGGCGAATGTCTACCAGCCGCGGGCCAGTGCTACGTTTCCTGTAGCGAAGATCTCCACTGCGACCCACAAAGCCTTGTTGCAGCGGTCGTCGGCCTGCAGCCAGAGACCGCCGGGACCTGGGGCCGACAGTTCACCGACGAAGGAGTGCGGAAGTTGAAGCCAAGTGCCGGTCGTGTTCTCCGACCACACGACAAACTCCGGCAGCACCTCCGCCGAGTGGAAGCACGGCCGGGGAGGCCACGCGACCATGGCACACCTTCCCTCATTGACAGGGCCGCCCCAACCTAAGCGGCTCTCACCGCACGAAGAAGCGCTGTCACGGCCGCCAGGGACGACACAGGACCCCGAGGGAGTTCGCCCACACCCACGAGGGACCGCAGCGGGGGTTGCGACATGCTTGTGCGGGCGACTGCGCCCCCTCTTAGGCGGTGGCGAGCCGGGCCCCTCCTGGCGAGCTTTCCCCTTCTCAGCGGCCGAGAACGTCTTCACCGGCGCCATGAGTGTCGCTGCCGAGCGGCGGAACAAGAAGGAAGAAGAAGAAGCGGGTGGAATGAAGGAAGAGATGAGCGACATGGGCTCTGCCCCTCCCCACATTTATAGCCAAGGGGAGGCCAACTGCCGGCCTCCATGACCTAAGGTAATGATGACCTTTTTCTACATGCAACATGGACTCGTTAAGTCAGGCAGTTGTCGAGGCAGCGTGGGGAAGCAGAGACGCCCACGACCGGTCAATCGCCACGCATCGATCAAGGTCGCATGCTATTGGGGCCCACGGCGCTCCGCACTTGACACTTGGCTTCACCGTGAAGCCAAGCACGAGCGCGTCTTAGGCCCGGGGGCTACTTCGGCGTCCTGGGAACGGGGGTACCCATACTTGCCTGCCTGCGGCCCAGGGCGTGGCTCCACCAGCGGCCTGGTATGGCCCATCTTCATCAGTAAACACTCAAGACCCTCACGAGGGCCCAAGCCTCACGATACGGACGACACAAGACCTCCTCAGGGGAAGCCTTCCTAGGCTGGCTCGCGAGGAGTGGAGAGATCAAGGCGAGG